TTTTAAATAAATGCTTTTGTTTTGATCTTTCTATTCACAATTTACACAAAAATATAAATTCACATCACTGTTTTTACGGGATTTTTTTATCAAATAAATGTAGCCTGGTTAAGCAGAAGAGACTTTTTCAGATATATTGAAAAAAATCATACTTTTTCCAAACCAGTCATTTGTTTGTGCACAAAAAAACAATTTCTGGCAAAGCTTGGCATTTATTTTATGTGATATGATAAACAAAATACTGTATGGTAATTTTATTGGTTTTTATTTTAGTTTTATCTGTCCGTGTGTCTCAGGTGTGGTTTAATATCCAGCCATACGCTGCACCTGTGAGAATGAGTTTTGACGTCTCTAAGCCAAATCTCTGGAAAGCGTTTTTCTCGCGATCGTTCCCTGATCCCGGCCTCTCTAGTGTGCAGGTGAGGACGGCTCCACCAATCACAGGCCTTGATGTAACGGGTCACCCTTTAACTGAACCCAGCTGAAGAATCCCAGTGATTCTGCTGGATCTTAAAATCACTTTCTGAAGTAACGTCTAATCTGCAGCCGTTTCTTGCCATTTTGGGCCAAATTGTTGATTTTGAGTCATGTTTTTCAGCCGGAGGGCCTGGTGTACAGACACACGGACAGAGCAGCTGCTGTTGAGTTACAAGACAGGTTCGTTTGAATCAAACACGCACCAGTCATTGAGGGACACATATCTGATGAAATGAGCTTGAGCTTCTGTGCTCCTGTGCTGTAGGATAGAGAAGGTTTTGAGGGAGAGGATCATGGAATGGCGTCCGCGTCACCCCACGCGCTGGAACCGCTACTGCATCTCTACGTTGCGTCAGTTCCTGCCAAAATTAGAGCTGAGCGGAGGGCGAGAGGTGGCTGAGGAACATCGCCTCGAGCTGCAAAGCCTTCTGGGAGAATACAGGGTGAGTCTTCTGCTAGAAATCACACTTTACACAGGCTAATAGCTAGGGTTGGGTACCGAACTCGGTACTTTTAAGGGTACCGACC